TAATCTTCAGCCCCCAAGTAAAGGACCCTTTGCTCCCATGGGGCCTGGAATCTTCTCCTGCCCACACAAGTCAAGGTCCCCAGTGGTCTGAGCCCGTCAAGGATTCACACCCCTGATTTCCTCTGCACGACATGGAACTGATATTTCTGTGGTTTGGGGGCAACAGACACAAACAGGCTGGGGCTGAGGTAATAAAGAATCTTTGGGGTAGAAGGGCCATAAACCATGTCCCTTCTGCCATCTGGGCCAAGTGGTCTTCCCAAGACCCCATCACTGTCTCCCCACTGTATCCAAGCGGGAGATACAGGACAGCCATGAGCAGGTGGGAGGGGCCCAAGGCACACTGTAGCCCCCCTTCACGGATGCTGAGTGGAAAGTCTCACAGTGGAGCCGCATTTTGCCCAGCTGAAAATTGTTCGCCGCAGCAATTCTGTGCCTTTGGGCTTTGCAGCAAGGAATGACCCCAACCAGGGTGGGAGGAAGGGGTCCCTACTACAACCTTATTCCACCAAGGGTCAGCCATCCAGGGAGATGTTCTAAAAGGGGGGCACATGTCTCTGGAATACAGAGAAGACCATGCCAAGCCCCTGTGCCTGTTAATGCCACGCTCACTGCACATGGGCATCCGTGCCCACCAAGGAGAGGAAAGATACATGTTCCTTATGCTCATTTTAAGACACAGGTTTCAATAAACTGAAACCCCAAATGCACAGTGCACAGTACAGTGCTTTCTAACTGCTAATGAGGGCTTCTTTTTGTCACTTGGATTTTATCATCTAGATTGTAAACACCCTAGTATGTCACTGAAGAATTCATCCAGCGAAGAAAACCACATAGTGCGCGAACCTTCAATGGTTCATAAGTGAAGAGGTCCACATCCACTGGGGGATTGTTTCAGGTGCCCAAGAACATCAAAACCTGCAGATGCTGGAGTCTTTTCTATAAAATTTCATAAAATTTGTGTAAAACCTGTGCACACACTCCCACATACTCTAAGTTCTCTCTAGACTACTTGTAATCCTAATACAATGTAAATGCTGTATAATGAATTGTTATGCTATATTACATTAAGGAATAGTGACAAAAATACCTATATGTATCAGTATAGATGCATTTTTTTCTGATTTTGGTGTCTTGATTTTAATGGTTAATTTTTTGATTAGGCCACGTACACAGCACGTAATGTTTCCATTCCTTGTTTGGAGTTGGTGCCTGTTCATAACACATCCCAGTTCCCTTTTTTATCCTTTTCCTTCCCCTCTCTCCCCTCCACCTCTATCTCTTGGTCTTTCCTTTTGAAAAAGATCTATCTCTCTACTTCCTCTTAGCCAATCTTTTATTTGGCTCTTTGTTTATAATTTGAGTTTCTCATATAAGAGAAACCATGTGATATTTAAGCTTGTGCATTAGATTTATTTTACTTAACATTATGGTCTCAAAGTACATGCATTTTCCTACAAATGACTCAAGTTTATCCTTCTTAGGTTCATTTTTTAAAAATGTTTTTCATCTACCAATGGCTGAATCTAATTGTGGAATTCATGAGTATAAAGGGCCAACTATATACAATTTGCCTTGTATGAAATTCTTCGCCTCACTACCACAAAATAAATATTCAAAGATCATTTTTAAAAATATCAATTTGCCTGTAATCCCAGTGTTCTTGGAGCCTGGGGCAGGAGGGTCACAAGTCGGAGCCCAGCCTAGCTACCTTAGTGACTTAACGAGACCCTGTCTCAAAATAAACTCTAAAAGGGACTAGGGAGGGATATAGCTCAATGTGAAGGCCCTGGGCTCAATGTCCAGTGCCACAAGAAAGAAGGTATCCATTTGAAGGTTCACTAAGTCATTTTCCAGCAGGCAATGCTCATCCTTCCCAGTGCTGGAGGGCACCAGATCCTGAGGGTCTCCCAGGTCCGGAAGCCCAGGCCCTGGAGGCCAAGCCTGGCCCTTCTTGTGTCAGCCTTTCCAAATCTGAACTGAAGCTGGAAGACTACTCCTTTTTCTCTCTTTTTTTTTTCTTTTTTACCTTGTAGATTTTGATTTTTTTAAATAGCTTTTTTGTGATACTATTCACATACCATACCATTCACCCATGTCAAATGCACAATTTGGTTAATCTTTAGAATATTCACAGAGCGATACGATCATCCCTACAACTTAATTTTAGAACATTCTTGTTCCCAAAATAAATTCAGAATGCATGAACAGTGATTTCTCATTTTTCTGCCTCTACCCCACCCCCACCCTAGCCAATCACTAATCTGTTTTCTGTCACTATGAATTTGTCTACTCTGGACATTTTGCATCAAAGGAATCATACATGACGTGGTCTTTCGTGGCTGGCTTCCCTTACTCAGCATGATGCAGCATTCTCAGTACCTCATTCCTTCACAGGGCGGAATAATATTGCATTGTTTGGACAACACACTTTACTTGGCTACTCGTCAGGGACAGAGAACAGCTGTTTAAAGACAGCTCCTTGGGGCCGGGGGTTTAGCTCAGTGGTTCCGCCACCTGCATCGCAAGCGCAAGGTCCCAAGTTCGATCCCTGGTACAAAAAAAACCCAGCTCCTTGCTTTCCTTTCCAATGCCTGATCAGAAAAAGCACCCCTGAAAGCATCCAGACAGAGTGTACAGCTTGCCACCATGTGCTTCCCTTGCTCACCTGGCAGGATCTGAGTCTTTGGTATATGGCAGGCAAGTCCTCAAGCTTGACTTGGGCTTATCTGAGAGCTGAGAAACTTTCAAACAGCAATTTCTGGAGCCCTGAGATTGTCAGAGTACGAAAGAATAAGAACACCACGTGTTGCCCTGTAGGCCCCCTCCCAACCAAAGCCACCCTAGGAAATCACAGTCTGTAAAAACAGAGTGTCATCTGCCAGCAAATTCAGCTCTGAGGCCAGGGCCCCAACCTGGAGCCCCTGCTAAGGTGAGCTTCCTCTTTGGCTTTGGGAATCCCCTGCTTTTCCTTGGGCCTCACCTCTGGTCACTGTTTCTGGAGCCCAGCGGCTCACCAGACAGGAGAGACAGCAGTCAACACCAAGCACTTGCCCTGTGCTTGCTCAGTCTTTGGGACTCTGGAGATGACGATGTCACATGCTCACTGATGAAGATTCGGATACAGGAGGTTTAGCTATCGGTTTCCACGGGATCTTCTCATAGCATTTCAGGCCCTTGCAGACTTCCTGGCACATTCCTTCTCTGGCTTCTGTCCCCCTCTCAGTCCGTGTCTGGCACTTTATCCTCTGTGGGTAGGGCTCTAGGCCCACCCTGGCCTCCCCAGGACACCAGGGAAATAAATAGTGGTAGCATTGACCCAGATGAAAGGCAGAGAAGATGCAGACTCAAGGAGGAGCTGACTGATGAAGAAGCCTCAGAGAGGCAGCTTTATTCATTCAACAAGTCCTGGGGGTGCACAGGTGAAAGTGAAGGGCAATCAGTCATGTTGTTCTGACCCTCACTCACATCCGCTTTCCTGGATAAACTGTGACAATGTCGTCAGCACCTGTCCTAAAATTACAGCAGGAAGTCAACAAGAAAGAGGTCTCTAGGATGAGACATGGCCCCAAGTGGCAATTAAGTGTATCTCCTGTGATCTCTGGGTGTCAGATTTCTTCCACAGATGGGAGCACTGTCCCTCTAAATCTTTGATTGAATCCAGCAGGGAGAATGTCTGGGAAATGATCCCATCTGTTTTCAAGAGATGGCCTCTTTCACCTCAATGTTCTGTTATTCCCACTTTCACCACTAGATGACGCCAGACACCACCATTTGTGATGAAAGATTTGAAGCCAAATTGGAGGTAAACATTGAAATGGATCTAGAAGGGATATGAGCCTCACCTGATCTTATTTCTTCTAGAACACATTTGCCTTAGAGATATATTATTTTTATAAGTAGATTCTTTACATGCCTAGATGTATGAAGAATGTATTCCTAAATATGGAAGAATACTCACACATATATTTTTCTTAGCCTCCCCATCAACCCCTCTGTCTACCCTCCTGCCTTCAAAACCAGCATCAGGGAACTGGGGTACAGATCAGTTATACCTTTCTCAAAATTCTATTATAAAAAACCAGAGTAGGTTCAATTAGGTGAAATACAGTTCTGCCACTGACGTGTCTGCTGTTGGCCTGTTCGTAGGCCAGGACGGCAAGGGCAGTATTGAGGGGCAGGGAGTGGTTTCAGGAACAACCAGGGGCATCCTAGTGTCTGCTCTCTCCAACCTTGGGGCACTGCCCACTGCTCACTCAGGATGGCTGTGCTCCTGAGAGAAGAGCGATTTGGGAAGGGCAAAAATCATGGCCTGGTAGCAATCGGCAGTCCCTAGAGATCTAGAGGGCAGGGGTGGTAAAATTGGAGTCTTGACTTGAAAAGAAACTTTACAACTGGATCGTGAGCCTGACAAGAAGAGGGAAAGTAATGTGTGGGCTGCAGGAAGGGAAAGTCTGCACAAGTCAGGGGACAGGGGACAATGTCTACCAAAGGAGACCATGGCAAGAAAGATGGCTGAGTGAGTCCTGGCTGGCCTGGGTGGATCCTGGAGTAAGACTACCTGGCAAGGGAGGGTCAGAAGGGATGGAGCAGAGCTGCAGAATAAGCTGTCGGGGAGAGCAGCAGCCCTGGGCTTAGAAACTCCAATCCTTCTGAGGCTCCTGAGAAATCGAATGGAACCTGATACACTGTCCATTTGTATTGTACATTTGTATAGCATAAAAACTGAGGTGTGGAAGAGTCCCTAGGACCAATGACCTACGTGTAGGGGAAGCTCCCAGGCCTGGGCTCAGACGCAGGCTCAGGGCCTTGCTGGCTCTGTCTCTGACATGGCCCACCTTACCCCAGGCTATCAGCAGCCTGCTAGGATTAAGTATATGACAAAGGCAAAAAAAAAGACCAAATTTCAGAAATCAGAGTCGCAACCGCACCTTTCCATTGCTGGGACAAAATATTTGACACCCACAGTTTCAAGGAAGAAAGGTTTATTTTGTCTCACAGTTTCAGATGTTTCAGTCTATGGTAGGCTGGCTGCAAGGCAGAAACATCAATGGCAGAAGGGCATGGCAGAGAACAGCTGCTGTCAGGAAGCAAAGGGCAGGGAAAGAGCCAGAGAGGAAGGAGCTGGACTGGACAGTCTCCAAGTTCATGTCTCCCTGACCCACCAGACACACCAAGAAGTATGCCTTACTAATCTCCTAGGTGCCTCAGTCAAGTTGCAAACCAAGATTCACCACCACAGTCAGCTAAGCCGTCTCCCTCCCAGTCAAACTCCCCACTCCTCACGAGCTCACGGCCCCCTTCCTGACTCCAACCTTTCAAACTCTTACCGGTCTTTGAGCTGCCCCTCAAAACTCATTCAAAGAGACCCTGAAATCCATGTACTCCAAAAATATTGCCCTACCTGGGAGAAGGAACATCAGCCTCATCCTTTCCCTGCCTGGACACAGCCGGACCCCACACAAGCATGGCCCTGGCTGAAGCAGAGGCAGGAACACCATGCCTACACACCTGGGCTCTGTCCTCCTTTCATTCCAAAGCTGAAGTGCATGGGTGCACCTCTCCTTCTCCTTCCCTTTCTTCCTGCTTCTCCCCCTCTGTCCCTAGTCAGACTGGGGATGGCCCTCCTCAAGGTCTGTTCTCAGGGGGCTGTTTTAGGTAACTCCCTAACTGTCTTCTAACAGGTCAATAGCAGATTAGACTGAACTCCACCATTTGTATTTTTTTGACATCTCAAGAACCTATTTGAATTGTGTATATATATTCCTTATTTTATGCAGTCAATATTTGTGGGAAGCCACTGAGAATTCGGGGCTTCGCTGGTAACTCAGTAAAAGACACGAGGCGGTGCTTTAGAGGCACTGCAATCCTGATCTAGTGGACAGATTGAAGGTCACAGGCCACAAGCTGGCTGGCACTGCAGCTGTCAAGGAGGCTGCCTGACCTCTCCACCTCCCCACACCCACCTCACAGTGACAGCCCTCTGCCCTATGGGAATAGGTGGCCTTGGGTCTGAGATCTAAACATACGCAGAATGATCAATCAAAGGAAGATAGGAAACTCTCAGTTTGTCTTCCTAGGCCCCATGTGACTCAGAAATGTACCCAAAGACCTGTACTCAGGAATGTCTGGTTCGGGGGACAGGGCACATGCAGGTCAGGGACAGGGCCCAGGGAGGAGGGCAGTGTCCTTTCCTCACTCACTACTTCTCAGGCAGCCTGAGCAGTCAAGAGAACCAGGCTGTCCATCCTCGGGCAGCCTGGTGGGCCCTGCCACAGAGGGAGGTATGCCGGCCTGGTGCACATGTGTGAGCAGGGCAGGAGGGACCGGATGGGCACTGTAGGATGGGGTGATTATAGAAAGCTGGTCGCATAGTGCAGAAGCAGCTGTGTTCAGGGACAGGCCAGTAGGTGTCCTGAGGCCAGAGACGCTCTTAAAAGTTGATGTTCTTCAAGTCCATGGAGCAGCGGTACCTGCCGTCCAGGAACCGGGAGCACAGCAGGTTGGGCGAGCAGGGACAGCTGTGGTGCTGGCGCTTCCGGAAGGAGGGGACCTGGGAAAAGAAGAGAGAGAGCTTCCCGCATGAAGGTAGCCTCCTCAGGAGCCAGTGGTCCCTCAGCCCTGGCAAATGACTCACCCCACCTCCCACCACCTAGCATAATCAGTGATTATAGACAGGAAACCCAGGCACAGAGTAACTGAGCAACATGCCAAGATCACACCACTGGTGGGCAGAGAAACTGAGCTTGGGACCCAGGCAGCATGGCCGCACACCCAGCTGTCATGTGCTGGACTCTGCCCCAGAGCAGCTGTGAAGGGACAGCCCTGCCTCTGACTCCCATCCCAAAGGAGGGCTGAGTCTCTGCAGTATCTTTAAGGGGTTTGAATAGGAGCAGCTAAGAGCATAGGCCCAGCATCAGCTGCCCAGGTTCAAATCCAGGTCTGACACTTCCCAGCTGTACATCAAGTAGCCATTTATTTCACCTCTCTGTGCCTCAACATTATTATCTTTACAGTGGATTGATAGCACTTACAACATGAAATTATACATTTTCAAAAAGCTTGGTATAAAGAGTGGCATGGAAGAAACACTCAGCCTTAGTTTTGTTTTTTGGTGTTTTTTTTTGGTACCGGGGATCGAACTCAGGTCCTTGCGCTTGCGCAGCAGGCAGCGAAACCACTGAGCTAAATCCCCAGCCCCAACCTTAGTTTTTATTACCTACAAGATACACATCCCCACTGACGTCCCAGAAGTTGAGAGGCCATTTTCTGGTCTTACTTCATGTTCTTAAACGGAAGTTCCTAGGCAGCGAAGGGCACTTGAGCCTCTTTCAAAAACTAAATTTCTCAGATTCATAAGGGACTTTAGAGGTAATTAGTTCACTCTCTTCAATGCATGCATGAGGCACAAAGCAGTTAAGCTAAGTCCCAACACCACACAGCAAATGAAAGGTTAAGAGTCTGTGTGATTGGGACCACCATTCTGCCCCAGAAGAGGAGGCAGTGCCAACAGCAGTGAGGTACAACTCCATGCTGAAGTTCCGGTGCCAGCTCTCACTGGCTGTGTGCCTCAAGCAAGTCACATGACCTTGCTGTACCTGTTTCATCACTAGGGCCCAGAGCTGCTGTGGGGATCAAATAACATCAGTGACTCTCCAGCCTGTCTAGAAGGCTGTAGGTGGTTGATGTCAGGCTGTGTACACTGCACAAATGTCATCCTCAGGGCATTAAGTAAGGTAGGGCCCGGTGAGGCGGCAGAGGACAGACCCAGTGCCTCCATGCTGCCTGCTTCCCCTCCTACAGGCAGGGAGATCCGTCCTGAAGGAGCAGGTTGCCCTCCCGCCCTGTTCTCAGAAGCCCCAGCTGGAGCCAGGCCCAGGACTGCCCCGTCAGCTCAGTCCCTGGTCACGCACAGGCATGCACTCCCAGTATCAGCGAGATACCTTGTGGCTGCTAGGGTGACACTCCTCTCCTTGGCGTCCCAGCGGCGTGCACACCCGCAGCCCCCGCAGCCACAGGCTGATGGCACAGCAGGTACCAGCCCCACACTGGACGTCCCACTCACAGGCCTGCAGGGGCAGAGAAAGGGGACAGCCCATTAGTGCCACCAAGAGAAACCAGATACCCTGTCAGGATCCAGGAAGAAGCTGAGCATTGTCCCTGGGTCTGCCTAACGGGACACGTGGGGCTGTGGCTACTGTTGCTGCTCCCCTACAGGAAGGATCCTCAGGGCTCCGCAGGGCATCAGACCTGGATCTGAGGAACCGCCTGTCCTTTGGGGCCACTGGTGGGAGGCAGTTCTCCTTGTCTGACAAGTCTGGAGGCTTAGGAGGCAGAGCTTTTCTATCGCCGGCAGATGCACAGTGGATGCTGGTGGGATTAGATTAATTAGAATCCTGGGAGTAGGTGTGGGATCCCAGACCCCTAGTGGTCAGTGCTGAGTTGTCTCTGACCAGGATTCTCCATCCTGCCCCAGCACCTGTGGCTGGTGACTCCTCCACATGCTGGCCCTGCCCCTCAGGACTGTGAAGAGGTGTCTCTCCCTAGCACCTCTCTGCTGGGTTGGGCTCCCAGAAAAGGCTGCAAGGCCTTTGTAAAGAAGGCCACACAAGCCCACTTTACATAAAAGCCAGGGTGAGCAGAACCGAACTCTAAACTGCTCCAGATTTCAAGCAGGGACTGATGGAGAAGGTCCCAAGCTGACCACTTCAAAGCTTTTTGTCTTCACTGATATGAAATCCGAAGCTGGATCGTTCCCCAGCAGAAGGCCACAGAGAACCTTCTAGTGCCTGTGTGAGATGGCACCTTTCAACTAGCAGCTTTCAACCTTCTCGGCCCTGGGAGGGAGAGGCGGCACCAAGGCCCTTTTCTCCCAGAGGAAGTGCTGGTGCCATCACCGGCTGCCAGTCTCTAGCCTGGCAAAGGCCCATCTCACACCCCAGCCAGTCTCCTGAAAGCTGAGGGTGGAGAAATAGATTTCACTCCACTTTCGTCCTGCAGCAGCGCAGCCTTCCTGTCCTGCTCTGGGAGAAGGGGCCATACAACCCGAACTTGGGAACAGTCACGATCCAGGGATCATGGGAGTCAGGAGAGGGTAGAGCCAGGTCTCTTTCAGAGAGTCATGTGTGGGACACCAGCCGGACATGGAGAAAGGATGGTGGCCAAAGGATCTTGGCTCAGCCCTTGACTTCCCGTCAGCCTATTTTAATTATTCATCTTGCCATTCGTACATTTCCCTGATTCTGGCTTTCTCTCTCACATATTCACCCTGCTGCCACTCCGACCCAGGCTCTGGAGCCAGCCCAGTGAGACAGCTGGGCTTCCAGGTCTCCCATGTGCTCCCTCCCTCACTTCGGGGCACCCCTGGCCTCTCTCCTCCCTCCCTCCCTTCCTTCTTACCCCCACCCAGACCTCTAGGCCACACAACGGGGCCAGCCTCCAGCGCTTTACACCCGCCAGCTGTCATTCTGCCTTCACAATTTTATTTCTGCTTTGTGTCTCCAAAGCATTGGTTTTCCTTTAGTATTTGTTCTTCTTTTGAACTCAGACTTTGTCCTCTAAAAAAGGAGAATGAAGTTGTCCTTTCTCTGAACATTATAACTACTCCAGTTCCAGGAATTGGCATTACTCTACATTTCCCTTCTCTAAGTAAAAAGTTGGAAGAGGTTGAAATGAAAATTAATTCCCCTTCTTTTTTCTTGTGACTTTGATCCAGAAAGCCCTCAGAGAATCATTGCTTTGGTTTTGGTAAGAATGGTCCTGCCACCCTCACCCACTGTGTGCCCAGGCAAGAGTGGTTCAAGGTGGACTCAGACATCTGAGGAGACCCCACAACCTGCAGCGTTTGAACACCGAAAAGGGCCGTGCCCGTGGGCTCACCCTCTGCTGCGAGGCTCCTTTCTACTTGCTTAGGGTGCACTCAGCCGAACGTTGATGTCACCCACCTTCTGCTCGGAGCTAACTGGGTGCAGTGGGGAACAAGGGATCCTAAAACCCTTCTGAAAAGCAGATGCAGGGAGGGTGAAACTGACAAAAGAGCAGCTAGTAAACCCACTCTTTAATGAAGCCAATACGCTATGTTCCAACTGACATGGGGACCTTATAAAACCAAACTGTACACAGAAGATAAATTAGGGGGCACGAATGCACTTTATAAAGAAATTCCCTATTACACAATCTTCATTTTAGCAAAGGACCAAACTTTAAAATTTTCACGTTCTCTTGCTGCCTTTAAAACGAGATTTGATTCACTCACAGCTTCGCAAAAGCCAACCCTGCCTATCAGCATGAGGTATAGCTAATCTGAGATCGCATCCAGTCCTCCTGCGGGGTGCTGTTTGATGGTGGCCTCCCCACTCCCCTCCATTCATGGCTGTCAAGCAGTTCCCAGGCTCACATCCTGTGCAGATGCTGACATGGTCTGGAAACGCAGGCACAGAGAATGCCAGACTTACCCCTGTGATCACCGCAGAGTTGGATACAGTTGCTAGGAGAAGCACGATTGAGGCTTCCATGGCACCTCTCATGGTCACTTGGGGTGAAGGCAAGTCCTGTCGTCTCCAACGTCTCTCACTTGTGCCTCAGCCTTGGGCCCGACACGCTGGGAAGGCCAGGCTCTCCTGCCCCCTTCCTCCTCCCAGATTTATATAGTCTGATCCACGGTGCCTGTGGATGCCTCATCTCTACTTTCCCTTCCCCATCACCAACATTATTCAGATGATCTCAGAGGCAAAGATGAGAACTGAATCCCTAACAACATCAAATCACCATCAAAACTAATAAAATAAAAATGGTTATGTCGAGGGCTTTGACAGTTGCTCTAACTCTTCCAAGAACACCACGCTTCAGACAACTGTGTGCCCCCTACTCGGTACTCATGTCTGCTTCCGAGCATCTTTCTATGAGGCTCAGGGTGAGGGAGGGTTTTGGTAATGAATTAAAGGATCTGCACCACTTCCATTTATCCTTCCCTGCATCAAACATCACAAGTTAGAGGATTACTGATTCTCTCAAACACAGGTTGACAGGATTATGGAGGCATTTACCATGGGCTCAGCACAGAGGGAGCTTTTCAGCTACACATGGGTCAGGTGGTGTCCCTGGTCCCACAGAAGGCAAAGATTCTAATAAGGAGACATTAGACAGTAAGAAAATAAGTACAGGCTTGGGGAGTTGATGCTCACAAGAGTGCCACACAGAAGGATCTATTCTCTGACAGACTCAGGATGAATAGCAGCAATCAGCAGGCACACAGGTCCCATGTCCTCAGGATCCTACAGAGAAGCAAGCTTGGGCTGGGCTGCGGGTAAAAGGTACCAGGAGCCACACTGCTGGCCTCCCTTTGCATGGAGTGAGTATAAGAGCAGCCTTCTCTGTGAGCAGAAAGGCATGAGGACTCAGATGTGAGTCTGACGGGATGGTGACCTTGGCCATACCTCCTTTTGCTGGGGAGGGAGGAAGCCCCTGGTCCCAGCCTTCTCTACTCCAGAGAAGAGAGCCTGGAGAGAGCTCCTGTCTTTCAGGAAACTGAAACAAGGAGAGTCTATTCTCTGGGAGGCAGACCAAATCAGAGTAGGGAAATGTTTCAGTCTGTTCAGGCTGCTATAGCAAAATGCCTTAGACCAGGTAATTTATAAACAATGGAAATGTATTGCTCACAGTCATGGAGGCTGGGAAGTTCAAGATCAAGCTGCAGGCAGATTCAGTGTCACAGGAAGGCCCACTCTGCTTAATAGATGATGCCTCATTGTGCCTTCACCTGACAGAAAGAGTCAAAGGAACTTCCTCTGGCCTCCTTTATAAAGAGATTAAGGTTCTTAATCTCTGCGAGATCTGCCCTCCTGACAAAACCACTTCCATAAAGGCCCCACCTGTTAGTATTCTCACACCGGGGATTAAGTTTCTACATGTGAGTTTTGAGGGAATGCAAACATTCAGAGCATAGCAGGGAGCTACACCCAGATTGAGTGATAATGAAAAAATTAACTCCTAATATGGGTGTAGGTAGATCTAGTCAAGGTTCCTGACCCAGGTACAATTTAGACCCCTGTATAACTTCATCTTCAGAACTCGGTGGATTTCAAAGTTGAGTCTTCCCTCAAGTTACATCTGTCTATCTGGGCTTCAGTGATTGAAAGACGTTTTTATTCAACAACTAGCTGTAATTAAAGAGAAGACACCAGGGCAGTGGAGAGCAAATGTAATCCCGGCTATTCAGGAGGGTGAAGCAGGAGGATCACAAGTTCAAGGCCAGCCTGGGCAGCCTAGCAAGACCCCGTCTCAAAATAAAAATAAAAAAGGTCTGGGGATATGGCTCAGTGGGAGAGCTCTTGCCTAGCAGACACAAGGTGGGGACAGCATGACAATAGCACCAGAAAATTTCAATCACCTAGGAATAAAGAGCCTGACTCCACGGGCATGCCCCTGCTTACCCCGTTCAGTCCACAGCGTGGTCTCAGGCCACTGCAGCTCCTCTCGTGAGACTGTGAGCACATGAGGCTTCTCTCCTTTGCTCACAGCTTTTCCTCCAGTGCCCTCCTCAGGGTGCACTTGTTTTTGCTCTTCTCCCTTTCTCTCCTCACGTCCACCACTTTCTCTCCCGCTCCCATCATATCAGCGAAACGGCTTCATCTGTCACCCCCGGCCTTCTGAATGCCAAAAGCAAAGCGCCACTTCCCATATTCTTCTTGCTTGCCCCTTTGCAGCTTTCAGCACAGGTAACTACTCTTTCCTTTCCCGTTTAGGAAAAAAGAAAGTGCAGCTTGCTGCCAACATTTATTTAATTTTATATAAATACACTCTTTAAGGCTGAGGCAAATCTGACTGGTTTTCAATGTGAAAATAAAATTTAAACAATTTCTGGAGTTATTTCAAAACAGAACATGTATCTAATCCTAATGTAACAGAAATATATAGATGATCAGAATTTAATAATTTTGGGGGGTATGATAAATCTCAGAGCACAGAATAACACAAAGAGGAATATCACATTCTGCACAAAAATCCGTGTTTTCCTCCAGATCTTCTTGCCATCTTTGTCATTGTGCAAGAGGCAAGCTTTGCAGTGAGCAGTTGGATTAGGAAATAATAACAAAAGAGAGATTTCATGACAAATTTGAAGGTAAGTTTTTTTTTGTTTTGCTTTGTTTTTGTTTTTTTGAGACAGGGTCTTGTTATGTGTAGTTCAGTCTGGACTTGAACTCACTATGTAGGCCAGGCTGGCCTCAAACTTCCTGTAATCCTCCTGCCTCAGCCTCGAGAGGGCTGGGATTATAGGCACGCACCAACATGCCCAGCTGGAGGTAAGTTTAAGATTAGTTAGTGAGTTATCTGTGGGTGTGCTGCAACTGCAAATCCCACTGGCAGGTATTCTCAGGGCAAAGGGAAATGGGTTCAAACCACATTACCTCTCATTTCATCATTTTCTCGGGGTCCTCCCATTTTTTCTGTTCCCTGCAAAATCTCCTCTGCTTCTGTCCACTCCTTAACCCAATTCCCTGGAATAATACACTCTTCCTGAATGACCCTCGCAGCCACCTAAGTACCAGTGGTCTCAAATCTGTGCTCCTGACCCACATGGGCCTGATGTCACCACACTGATGCCTCGCTGACACCTCACATTCACCATGCCCTTGTCCCTGGAGCCCTTTTTCACATTCACCCCAAAACCCACTTATCTGGTTCAGGGCTCTTAGTTGTAAACAATGGACTCAGTCTGTCTGGCTAAAGCAGAAAGGGAATTTAATGGAGCTATTATGGAGCTCACTGAGTCACTGGGTGTCTTGAGAAACAGGATGGAGCTCAGCATCCAAGAACAATGCCCAGAACCCAGCACAGAATTGGCTAATGAGGAAAGCACTGTACAGAGCCAGACCTTCTGCCAATAGCCAAGCCCCTGGAACCTCTTTCTTCATGTCCTTCACTCCTGAGAGAGGCTCACATGGACTCTGACAGTGGGGGGGTCTCATGGGCAGACTCTTGACTGCTTACAGGGAAAGTCTCCAGCAGCTACAAATCATGATTGACCACTACTATATCCTCTCTACACAACTGGTGGCCTCACAGCACCCTCAGTGACCAAACCTGGAAATTTTCTAGATTCCTAATTTCCCTCCACTCGTTAATCACCTAATTCGTCACTTGGACTTCATCTGGAATTTAGATTCTCCTTCTCTTTCCATCTTCACCGTGGCTGTATGTCCACCTTCCTGGCTAGTGTCTCCCTCCAGAATAAGACCTGGCCTACCTAGCACTCCTTTCAGCTTCATCACCTGTCACACACACACACACACACACACAAATCTTTCTAGATCCTCTTTTGTTGCTAGTTCAGAGAGTCCAGGTGGTTGAGTATCAGATTGTTCCATCTCGCTTCCCTTTGGGGTTGCTGTAGGTGATCCAGAAGTCTGGTTTTGAGGCTTGTTTAAGTATCTTCTCATTTCCACGGGATGGGGG